AGTGCCCTGATGATCAGTGCCGAGCGCTTCTCTGACAATTGCCGGTTATTGGCAGTACTTTTCTCATGCTGTGACAGAGTGCGGAAAGTGCAGCTGATAACTCAGCAACTGTATTTACCCGGTGATCTGCTGTGTCATTGGACACAGCTGATCACGTGGTAAAAGGCCGCTGTGATTGTCTGTTTACCATATCCTGTGATTAACTGTGTCCATAGGACACAACATTCATCGGCGGTGCCTGGGGCACGCAAGGGGTGTGTTCTGGAATGGCCATTAAAATTGAAATATCCTCCTGCGCTCAACTATGAAATTACCTAGTAAATAGCCAGCTGCTATCACCTATTCCCTATACCTCAGGATGTGTAAATTATAACAAAAAAAAAGGTGAAGTGCGTTCTGGAATGACCTCCATGGACATCGTCCCAGAAATAGACAACCGCACTGTAGCCATCTTTCGGCTATAGGGCGGTAGGGAAGAAGTTAAAAAAGTAATAAAATGTCCCTTTATTTTCAAATTAACACAAGCTTCTTCTCAGCAATGCACAACTCAACATACTCAACTATAATGCAGCTACTCTTCACTACAAAAACAGGGCTTACTAGCCAGAAGAGCCAGATGACTCTCAGACACACCCAGTTTTTTAAAGCCTATGTACAGTTCTCACTAGAAGTGTCTTAAGTTTCACAAACAGCTCTTAGGGTCTTTTCACACGGGCATTCCTTTTTTTTCAGCAGTTCAGTCACGTTTTTCAAAGAAAAAAAGGATCAGTTTACATCCGATTTTTCATCAGTTTACATCCGTTTTTCATCAGTTTACATCTGTGTTTTTTATTAGTTTAGATCTGTTTTTTCATCAGTTTACATCCATTCTGTTTTTATTTATGGAAGAAAAATAGGGTTTTCAATGAATGCTAACAGATGCGAACATTATCGGATGTAAACGGATGATCAGGAAAGCACTATCACACATAATTTTATTGGCTTTCCTGTTCCAACATGACTGCGCACCAATTCACAAAGCAAGGTGCATAAAGACCTGCCCTGATTTCAACCCGATATAACACTTTGGGATGAATTAGAGCAGAGACTGCAAGCCAGGCCTTCTCGTCCAACATCAGTGCCTGACCTCACAAATATGCTTCTGGAAGAATGGTCAAACATTCCCATAGACACACTCCTAAACCTTGTGGACAGCCTTCCCAGAAGAGCTGAAGCTGTTATAGCTGCAAAGGGTGGGACAACTCAATATTGAAAACTATGGATCAAGACTGGGATGTCATTAAAGTTCATGTGCTTGTAAAGGTAGGCGCCCCAATACTTTTGGCAATATAGTGTATTTTTACAGCACTTTTTTAATGATTCTTTTGTGGGCAAGTTGTCGCTAAAAAGAAATAAGACATCAGCCTTAAAGCATAACTAAGCTCACCTCCATTTCAGTGATGTCAACAAGCTCCCTTTATGGTGCCAACATCTTCTATCAAGCTTTTTCCAAGTTCATCAACTTTAGCCATTTTGATTGGCTGGCCCAGGAACATGTAACTCTTGAGGATACACAGCTAATTGTATATGCAAAAGATGAACGCGGATCTAGAATGTGTTGCAAAAGAGACATAGCAGCTTTCACAGGGATTAGACCATGCTCTAGGGGAGAATTGGGGGAGCACAGCAAATATATCAGTGAGTATCCCAAGAAGAGAACATGTCATTTTGCCCAGAATAGGCAAAGTGGTAGATCCTTTTTAGTTATGTAAATATCTTTAAAAGGTCACATCCAGCATGACAAATTTATAACGGAAGTAGAGGAGACAAGTTATGTGTCTTGGGATACTTCTTAAATAGCTGTTTGTCAGAAGGTGATAAAACCCAACGCTTTTATGCATCTTCATTATTGTTTTGAGAGTTTTTGTTGTTGCCACTTATATATTTCATTGACAAGCATTTTCCTAGGTCCAACATGTGATCATTACTCACTCCGGTTATGTCATCAATAAAGTCATTTCTGAGTAGTATCACACTTCTGAAGCAGTCTGTCCACTTTTATAAATGTTTTTCTCTGGGGATCAGAATGTATATTGTATGTGTCTAATCGCTGCAACTTGTTATTCTCTTGAAAAGAACCCAAGATTTAACACTAAAAGCTGTGCAGTTCTTTTAAAAACTATTTTCTTGTCTTGAAGAGAGCAAGCGTGTAGCTTGTCATAACTTTTTATGGACAAACATAAAGAAAAATACTGCAGTAATGCAACACAGGACTTTAGTGTTTGATGTGCCAGATTTATATGCTTGCAAATGAAGCGCAAACAGATTGCATAGTCTAATAAAATCATTTGTGGTATAACCATTAGAGAGAAAATAATGACAAATGTGCCGTGATTGCCAATAAAATTATGTGTGATAGGGCTGCCAGATCTCTATTTTATATTCTATAATGCAGAATCGTGTTTAGTGGGCAGAGTATAAAAATAGGGTTCTGCGACAGGCAGGCTCTAATATGGACTGTAATGTGATTTTGTATATTTTTTTTTTTTTGTTTTGGTTATTATTTTTTAAGGGAAAAATAAAATGTTGCTTATCCGTACCAGTAGGTGTTCAGTCAAAGCTTTCAGCTTCCCTTGACTAGTAGAAATGTTAGAATTATCACAAATCCAACCAAATTCAAGTAGACTACAAAAAAACTCACTGAGTGACCTGGTCCTGACAAATAGGGATCAATTGTCTGATGTTGAGGTGGGAGAAAATGTGAGTTCTAGTGATAACCAATGTCTTTGATTTGATATTAAAACAAGTACTGAAAAATCATATACAAAAACAAAAGTTTCAGGTTTCAGAAAGATGAATTTTGCTAAAATGGATGAATTAAAAAAAAAAATAATTGAAAAAGTGGAGTAAAATGACAGGTGTCAGTATTCAGTGGTAACTGTTAATGTCTACCATCTTGGAGGTAAACCTGATTATATGACAAGACAATTAGTGAGAGTAAACAAATGAAAAAACAATATGGTTCACTTAAAAGGTAGGCAGGATAGTAAAGGAAAACAAAAAAAGGTATATAGGAGATTCAAGGAGGTATAGCTGATAGAGAAATGTATAAAAATAGACAGAGGGAGGTCAAACACATTGTCAGTACTGTCAAAGCACAAAATGAGGAGGAAATTGCTAAGTATATTAAGAAAGGAGGTTTTTTTTTTTTCCTTTTTTTGGTACATCAGCGGTAGAAGAAAAAAATACAATAGGATACCTGGATATAGCAAACCATTTAAACAATTACTTCTGTTCAGTCTTCTCAGAAATAAATTTTAGGAGCAATAAAAAGTTGAGGAAGTTTAATGGTTCTAGTAATGACAGTCAATTTTTAGTATTTTTGTAGACAGATGTAGCAGTGGAACTGGCTCAGTTATAGCTTAATAAAGCAAGGGTCCTGATGGTATTCACCGCAGAGTGCTAAGAGAGATATAGTTGTTGGACCATTAACAGATCTTTTTAACCTCTTCCCATCTATCCAGAGGCTGGAAAGAGTGGTCAGGAAGCTTTGCAGATGCAAGCTAATGTACCTGTACATCAGCCCGCATCAGCAGCTCCTGCACGGTTCACCGAGCACACTCCTGGGAGTCTGGTGATCAGTACATCGCCTGGATACAGAGCATCACATTACCTCTATGTCCGGGGTGATCACATGGTGTTTTACCATGTGATTGCTGTGTCCTACCACGACAATCACATAGTAAAGACTGGAAAGTAAAATTAAAGATTGCTTCTCTCTGCTCTCAGTGTGAGGGCAGAAAGAAGTGATCTTGCAGCCTGTAATGTACAGCAGCAGCCATCCATAGTGCCCCTGTTTAGTCCCTCTGTGTCCCTGATCAAAGCCCCAGTGTATGGACAATAAATATTGCAGCCAGACCCTGTCACCTGTCACAGTGCACACAAAAACACCACCATACACCATACCAGTGTTCTGATCACTGTCATACCAGCGTCCTGATCATGGCCATAATCAAAACCAATGTCATGATCACCGCCATACCCCATGCAAAAAGCCTGATCACTGTCATATACCATACTAGCATTCTGATCACTGCCATACACCATACCAGCACCATGTTCACCACCATTCCCTATACTAGCATCCTGACCACCAGCATACCGCATACCAGCATCCTGATCACCACCATGCCCCATGCCAGCATCCTGGTCACGACCATACCCAATACCTGCGTCCTGATCACCACCATACCCCATACCAGCATCCTGATCACTGCTATGTCCCATACCAGCATTCTGATCACTGTCATACCCAATACCAGTGTCCTAATCACTGCCATACGTCACGCCAGCGCCTGGTATTTTAGGGTCTTAACGGATCAATTTTCTAATATATAACTCATAGTTTGTAGACTCTAAAGCTTTCATACAGACTAAATAATACACACTGTTTTGAGTTATTTTTACACACAAAAATTTAGCAGAATACTTGTGTCACTAGCCCTGACCCCGCTGAGGTTGGACCAGAGGGAGTCTAGGGACCAGGGGGACAAGAGCGCCAGTGTTGATGCTTGCGGCTCTTGCAGATGATGGCATGGAAAGGCAGTGTTTCCTCTGATTAGAATACTGTAGTAGCAGACAGAGCAGGTTCTGGGTAATGCCCGATGTGCAGCAGTGCAAGTAGGTAGCCAGGACACAGAAAAGGAGCAGGGTCAAAGGAAGCCAAGGTCCTCAACAGTCAGGCAGCAAGGTACAGAATCAGTAGGAGAAGCCAAGGTCAGGAGCAGCGCCGAAGTCAGGAACAAGGAGCAGGAGAGTAATCAGAGTCAGGTCAGGAACAAGCCGGGTCAGCACCAAAGGAATAGCACAGGAAACAAGCAGGACACTGGGGAAGCTGAAGACCAGTCAGCACTGAATGAGCACCGAGGTGCTCTTTAAATAGCCCGCCCAGTGCGGACAGGCGTGCCCGGGTCCTAGTGCCTGCCCGTTCCTAGTGCCACCTACTAGTGCCTCCTCATCAGTGCCCATTAGTGCTGCCTATCAGTGCCCATCAGGGCAGCCTATCAGTGCCCATCACTGCAGCTTCATTAGCGCACATCAGTGAAGGAGAAAAATCACTTATTTACTAAATTTTATAACAGAAACTAAGAAAAAAAGAATATTTTGTGAAAAATTTCAGTTGTTTTTGGTTTGTTTAGCAAAAAAAAAAACAGAGGTGATTAAATACCACCAAAAGAAAGCTCTATCTGTCTAAAAAAATGATAAAAATTTCATATGAGTACAATGTTACATGACCGCGCAATTGTCATTCAAAGTGTGAAAGCTCTGAAAGCTGAAAAGTGGCCTGGGCAGGAATGGGGTAAAAGTGCCAAGTAGGCAAGGGGTTAAATACATCAAGGGAGTAATTAAGGTTCAAGAAGGCAGAATTTTCAATATGAAACCAAGATCAAGAACACAGGAACATGACCTCAAACTAACTGGAGGAAAGTTCAAAATTAATCTTAGAAAGCATTATATTACTGAAAGGGTAGCTGATGCTTGGAATACACTTCTGACAGAAGTAGTGAGTAAGTCAACAGTAAGTGGTTTCAAACATGCTTGGGAGAAACATGGATCTATACAAAAAAGTTAATGACAAAAAATTTTAAAAAAATAGAAAAACATGTATAATAAAAAAAAAAGTACAAGAAAAAAATGGGGCAGACTCAATGGACCATTTGGTCTTTTTCTGTTGTCACTCTTCTATGTTTCTATGAAAATATAGTTTTGATAAACAATTGTGATAACATCATGCAACATGAAACTACCATTATTTTATTGAAAAAAAAACTTACAGTAGCATATATAGTATAAGCTGCACAACCACATCAGCCCCTACAGTTCATAATATCCTTGGACATTTCAGAATGGTATGACAACTATGATTCCTGCAGGTCCATAACAGTAAGTATCTACAGGTTTACAAAGGTTTCAGCAGTACAGTGTAACAGGATGCCCTGGAGTTTGGAAACCACCATCGGGCTCTATCATTCAAAGTGCACTGGACCCAATCCCTATGGCGCTGATGCTGCACATGCAATGCATGATGCAATGTGCCTCTGAATATGCTAGCAAATTTGTCTAGTCATTTATCTAACATGCAATACATACTTGTGCTCAAATAGTGTGTACATGCATTTATCTATCTGGTGCTAAAAAGGGTGTAATCCACATATTAACACTAGGACTGTAAAAGTAGGACTGGCCAAAAGGGATTACTTTGACAGTTGGCCAGCTTAAACATTTATTGCAATATGTGTGAACTAAAAATCCTATTTTTCATTGCAAAGTTTGCTGGTAATGGTATATAGCAGTGTGCAGAGGGTTCCTTCAGAACTTCTCTAATATGGTCCCCTCCCTCCTGTGATGTCATAGTCCTCTCCTCTCCAATCCTAATTATTCTTTGTGCTGGTCCAAATCCTTTGCCTCTCCTTTAATCTCCCTAAATAAACTTTTACTTTCATTTGAGCTCTGAGTCTGCTTGGGCTGCTAACCTCAAATCCGATGTAGCACCCAGCAGCAGTCTTTGGATGTCTACAAAAGGGATACTTTAAATATGTTATTACATAAAATTGTATGCTTAGATGATTGAAGAGGAGCACCCGGTATCCAGAAAAAGTCTCTCTTGATGATCTATTATAATCATTTATTGAAGAAGACTCTAATTAAATTAACCCTCTCAGAGCCTAACCATTATCCAAGAAATACAGCTCTGTAGAAGGGCAAGGCAATTCCTCCAAAACACGTTGTATTCTTGTAAAAAATCTATCTGTATATTTTTATCTTCAATAAATTATTATAATAAATCATCAAGGGAAACTTTTTCTGGATATTGGATACTCTTCTTCAATTGTCCAAGTGTTCCCTGCAGTTATGGCTCCATTGCCATTATCGGAAAGGAGCGACCTTAGACCCCAATAGAGTCTATCACCTATCACCTATAATTGGGGTACAACCCATCAGAAGTGATTCCCTCTATACCCTTTCCTCTATACCCATTTTGTGCTGTTTGATCTAGCATGTGTATATCTGGTCTGGGAAGCTTCCCTTTTTGATGCAATGACTCTATCCTTGCCTTGTTACCAGGGGCGGACTGACCATTTGGAAACTCAGGCACTGCCGAAGGTCCGGGATCAGTAGGGGGCCCCATGAGATGCCCCTGGTACCTTTTTCATAGGCTTTTTTGAGTTTGGGCAAGGACACAGGGGCCCCATGATCCCCTATTGCCCGGGGGCCCCATGAGTTGTCAGTCCGCCCCTGCTTGTTACATATAATGAACTAAAAGGAAATAAAAAAGGCCAAATTGCGGACTTTAACGCAACTGCAACAAAAATATCATTAAAATCACTTTATTATTTAAATGTAGACCATTACATAACAATGCATAAAGGATATTCCGCTAAGAATGCAAGACCCTCAGGGAGGGGGGTGGAGCATTCTATGCAGATTACAAAACTCGTCAACAATAGTTTTGATACAAATGTACTGTGTCCGGGTAAGGGTATCAAAAGACATAGATCAGATGTCAGTAATTGTAGTTACTCTACATGTTTTGCGAGAGTATCGCTTCTTCAGGAGTTACTACATGAAAGAAAGTTGGATGTAAGTATAACATAATATAACATAGTATAATGTTGTTAATTATTGGTTATATAAATCCGTAAATACCTTGAGGTATCAGTTACAAAGCAGAAAACGTGTGCCTTGTTACAAACTATATGGGACACATTTATTTACATTTATAGGATTTTCCTTTGTTGGTTCCATTTTCCAGGTTCCTCTGACTACTTTTCGGTGAATGTCTGATTTTGACTCTCTTTTAAGGGGGTGGATTTTTAGGGGCTACTTTTGCCCCCGATCTACTGCACTTTCCTAACCGGGTATCCTTGATGTTATGTATATGGTGATGATCTTCCTTGCTGATTGGTGGTGTTTATCATCTTCTTTTGTGCATCTATCTATTTTGATCAAATATTATTGAAAACACAGAATGGAGTGGATCATAAAGAAGCTCTTTTGGGTGAAACATGTCGATCTGTTGGCTCTCCATTCTTCTGTTTGATTGACAATATAAGCATTTTTGATTTATGTACTATAGCTGATATGAAATGACTTTATGACATTCATAATATTCTTTTAATTTTTAGAAATAAAACTATTTTTTTATTATTATATATTTTTTTGAGAGTTGGAGCACCTTAAAAATCCCCACTTTTCCATAATTCCCTTCCCCTTCTATTTTTTTTCGGGGAGTTTATGGAAAAATGTTTTGTTGTGATTTTATAGTACTTTTGGGGATGGTGCTAACATATTTTTAGTGACAAGACCTCCCACCCAATGTGTGTTTTGCACAGAACAGCCCCGATCCTCCTCTCCCAGGTACCCTGCCAGCACTCTGGGATCCATCCCCTTGCCAAGTGCCATATCAAGCGGCTATAAGACACTGTAGGGTGGAGGGACTATGTTTGCTATATTGATGTCTTACAGCGTTCAATAAATATTTTTCTAAGCCGCAGATTGTTTTCTTTGGGACTTCTTTGCTTGTAGGTTCTCTACCCGCAAGCGGGTGTTTGTTTTGCATATCCCATTGGTACTGAGGATACTACCTCAATTTTGGTGAGTCAGTCTATTAATTTATACTATACTTTAGCATGATTGCCGATTTTGGTTTTATCATTTTTGTATAAGACACACAGAACAGGGCTTGGCTCCACCCCCGCTCTGTCCTCACTGACTGTGATTGGCTCCAGTTGCTATCTCTGAGCCAATGAGGAGGCAGAGAGCCAGGACAGCATCCACTCTCGTGCACATTGCTGGATCAGGATTAGGCTTGGGTAAGTATTAGGGGGCTTGAGGAGGAAGCTACATACTAAAGATTTTTTTACCTTCATGAATAGCATGCATGAAGGTAAAAAGCCTCCAGGCTTTGCAAATAAATTTAAGGTATAAAAAAACAATTGAAATAAAATAGTTTCTCTTTAAAGTGCAATTCATGAAAAAACCCTGCAAACTAGTCTACTATATTATTATTATTATTATTATTATTATACCAGTATTTATAAAGCGCCAATAGTTCGCTCAGCGCTGTACATTACAAAGGGGGACAGAACATGTGACAGAACAATACCAATACAATGCAAAACATGAGGGGATCGAGGGCCCTGCTCTTTTGAGCTTACAATCTAGGAGGGAGGGGATGGTAGCACAGGAGGAGATAGCTGTGGGGGATGGAGTGGTAGGAAGAGTGGAGGAGGTCGGCAAGTTAGCAGGGGGTGGGGTAGGCTTCCCTGAAGAGATGGGTTTTCAGGGTGCCCCTAAAGGAGAGGAGAGTAGGTGATAATCTGATGGGTTGGGGCAGGGAGTTCCAGAGGATGGGTGACACCCTGGAGAAGTCCTGGAGGCGGGCATGGGAGGAGGAGACCAGGGAACTAGAGAGAAGGAGGTCTTGTGAGGAGCGGAGTGTGCGTGCTGGGTGGTACTTGGATATTAGGTCAGTGATGTAGTTCGGGGCAGTATGGTGGACAGCTTTGTACGTCAGCGTTAGGATTTTGAATTTGATCTGTTGCGCAATCGGAAGCCAGTGGAGGGATTGGCAGTGGGGGGTGGCGGAGACAGAGCGGTTGGAAAGGTGAATGAGTCTGGCAGCCGTATTCAGGATTGACTGAAGCGGGGATAGCCAGCGGCGAGGCAGGCCAGTGAGGAGGGAGTTGCAGTAGTCGAGTCGTGATATGATGAGAGAGTGGATGAGCTGTTTAGTGGTTTCTGGGGTTAGGAACGTGCGGATTTTGGCGATGTTGCGGAGGTGGAGTCTGCACGAGTTTGTTAAAGATTGGACTTGGGGCTGGAAGGATAGGTTGGAGTCCAGAATGACACCAAGTACTCTGGCCTGCAGGGTGGGTTTGATGGTAGCGTTGTTGGATGTGACGGAGAAATCTTATGGCTAAGGGTAGATGTACAGGCAAAACTTTATTTTTTGGATAGAATAGAGTAGGGGAGGGAAGGGTTACTACTCCAGTCAGTCTATTTTTTATAGTTTTTGTCACATTAGGGAGATTTCCCCTTCACTTCCTTTCCTGAAAAAAACAACAAGAAGGTTAAG